AATGGCTGTCACAGAGCCAAGAAACCACCGCAGCTCTTATTCACAAACTGAAGAGACTTTCCTATCACCCCATAGTTCTGAAGGCCAGGTGGAATACAGAGAAAAGGAATACACTGGAACCCTGATACACTGGGAGGACACCAAGGAGAACTACAGTCCCAGGAGCTCTAATAGTAAGAGAAGATACGCTGTCACTGTCTTCCAAGAATTTAAACATTAATCTTCTTTGATTAGTAAGTTTCAAGTCTTAATTAGCTAAACTAATCCATAAGTTGGCAAAGCATCTCTTTCCCATTAAAAGTAGCACAAGGCCAGATTGTTAGTGCTTGCCTGGAATCCCCGCACCCAGCAGTGTCAGAAACTCAAGTGTATTGTCACCTATAGAGCAAGACTACTTTGTGCTTCATTTGACCTTATCTCAAAAAGCAGCCCCACTAAATATTCAGGAATCTCCTTCCTTTGTTATGGAAAAAAGAGGAGACAGGCTTGTTGGCTGATGTCTGCAATCCCAGCATTCAAGAGGCTGAGGCAGGAGATCTGCTTTCTAGTGGAGGACAGATGGGGCTCAGAATGAAGCCCTGTTTCAAAAAAAGGAAAGACTGGCCTGGCATGGTGGAGCATACCTTGAATCCCTGAAGGATGGATGTTTGCGACCATCCAGACTACACAGTGGCCGGACAAGGTCTGGTCAGTTGCTATGTATTGTAATGCTAAAGACTGCCTCCCACCCCTGTCTGGTTAACCCCCGGAAGGAGGAAGTCCTCTGTACACCAAGATGCTCTCTAAGCTCGCTCCTTAATTTAAAACCACTGGTTGAATAACGATGCCTACAGCCTATAGCTGGGCAGGAGAGGTAGGCAGTTTTGGTTCCTGGACTTGGGGTCTGAGGCAGAGACCATGAAGGAAGAGGGAAGGTAGAGAGGAGAGGATGCAGTGGGGCAGGTGAGTCATGAAAACACGACCACGAGGGCTGGCCGATCGGAGCAAGAGCTGCCCGGATAGAACATGGCAAGTTTTACCTCAGGGTTATTGACGGGAAGTAGATACTAATAGCTTAGAGGGCAGACATCTGCCCGGCTCTAGCACAGGAAAGGTTTACCATAAATATAAAGGTTTTGTGTCTTTTACCTGGGAAGTAAATGATCAAAGGTGGGGTGGAAACTCCCGATTTATATTAATTATTACCACAACACGAGACTGTCTAAGTTAAAGAAATAAAATTGTCATAAATTTATAGCACGTTTGCAGTCTTATTAAAGGTTGAAACAAATCTGTTCCATATTTCACCACGTGGATCACAGCAGTTCAGCTTAGATAAAAGGGAAAAAGATGATACATAGTGAATGGTGTTACACTCATCTAACCTCCATCTTCTAAGAATCTTAGTTGTTTTTAGGTAGGGTCTATGTAGCCTTCATTGTCCTGGCACTCACTTGTGTACACCAGGCTGGCCTCAAACCCATCAGGATCTGCCCACCTCTGCCTCCCAGGTGCTGGGATAAACGGTCTATGACAGCACATCTGCTACATCCAAGAGTCTTCTTCCTTCATTTGCTGAGCGCCTTTAACCTCCTCTGGCCTCTCCTTTATGTTCCCTAGTCTGACCTATGTGGAAGGCATGATCTCTACACAGTTGTCAGGAATACAAGTCTCCCACAAGCCTCTGCTCACATTCGCAATCAGCTCCATGACACTGTTCTTCAGATAGACCTTCTCCAACCGAGACATGCTGTTCCATCGAAACCTAACCACCAAAAACAGAAAACCAACAAAACCACGTCAGAAGGCTTTTCTTCACAAGACAATATCTGTGTTTCCTGTTTTACATTATGTTACGTGTTTCATTAAGAAATTCTACTTTTGGCCAGGTGTGGTGGCACTCACCTTTATCTCAGCACTCCGGAGGCAGAGACAGGGAGCTCTCTGAGTTTAAGGCCAGCTGGGCTACATGGTAAATTCCAGAACAGCCAAGGCTACATTGAGACTCTGTCTCAAAAAAACAAACTAAACCAAACCAAAGAAACCAAAAACAAAAAACCTTTAAAAAAAAAAAAAGGAAATTATATTTCTGAGGATGGAGAGATGTCTCAGTGGTTAGGAAGACCTGAGTTTGGTTCCCAGCACCCATGTTGGGCAGCACAGAAACACCCATAATCTCCAGGAGGATCATGTACCTCTGTATCTGCATTCACAAGCACATATCACACAAGCACACATTAATGAGAAGATAATAAAATCTTTAAAAGATTCTTGGCTCCAGAAAGATGGCTCAGTGCTCAAGAGCCCTTGCTGCTCTTGCAGAGGACCGGAGTTTGGCAGTTAATCACCGCTGTAACTCCAGTCCCAAGGGATGGAACACCTTCTTCTGGCCTCTGTAGGCACCAGGTACATACATGGTGCACATATATATAGGCAGGTAAAGCACTTATACACACACATAAATAGTCTATTTAAAACTTCTACTTTTGCTTTTATACTCTTCAGAGAGAGGACAAGACAGTCCACATTAAACTAGATATGGGATTGATGTCACAGATCTGCATGTCACAGATCTCCATCTACTCATCTACAATAACACAGTGGCTTTCCAAAAACTAACAAAAGGTTTTCTGTTTCACTTTAAACTTTGGTTTCTTGAGACAAAGTTTCACTCTGAACTATGTAGAAGAACTTAGAACTATGTAGCCTAGGAGGGCCTGAACTTGTGGCAGTCTTCCAGCTTCAGTCCCTCCAAGCTAAGCATTATAAATGGGATTCACCATGCCTGGCTTGTTGAATACTTAATATGTGTAACACATTTTACAGATGACTTAACTGAAGAAAGAATAAACATCCTGAGTTCTGCCCACATGTTAGTGACCATTCTGTTCATTTCTAGTCACTGGGGTCAGGAAAGGGTTAAAAAGCTGTTCTCTTCAACAGGCTCCAGTGATAGTGCTAAGAGTTCCTTACTTGACGACGTGTTCCAGGATCTGAAGGCCAAAATGTCTGATGATGGCAACTTGTGATTTTTCAGCCAACTTCAAGCCACATGGGACACAGATAGGGCACTTTTCTTTAAACTCTTCACAAAACTGAAAGAAGAGACGTTAATATTTCCATAGGGAGGCATGAGAGAAGAGAGACTAAAAATCCTAAGAAAGTCCAATTGTAGCTGATTGTGTGCTACTGGGAACTGAACCTTTCATGTGCAAGGCAAGCAGGGTACCGCCAGACTATATTCTCAGCTTTCTCTCTTTGGTGTACGTGTGCAGTGTTTTCATGAATATGTTCATGGATGATATGGCTACACATTCAAATGGAAGCTGGAAATTGCAGTTGAAAGTCTTTCTCTCTCTGTTGTTTTGAGAACCTGGAATTCAGGATTTGCCTAGACTGGCTGGTGAGCAAACTCAGGGATTTGTTACGTCTCTTCCTCCACTACAGCTGGATTATGGTACACAGCCATAATTACAAGCACTTCACCCTCTATGCCATCTCCCAAAGCTGTTCTGTTTACTTTTTTTGAGAGAGGGTCTTACTAAGTTGCTCAGTTACAGTGTTTAACGTTTGAATCCCCTGCCTTAGTCTCCCCAGTAGCAGGGATTATCTACTGACCTTTTAGCTGTATTTTTAACATGTGAAAACATAGATTAGTAATACTGACGCTCTCCATTTTGATATTAGTCACGTTAATACTAAAAATAAACTGGTTCTAAAAGAGTAAAAAAATGTTAGAGATATACCCACACAAGTGGAATGTCAGTACCTACAATCAGCTTTTAAAACTACGGGTGCCTGGAAGAGACACTGAACAAGCAAATCTGTGTATCACCTGAGTTTAGATCACAGGCCTATGTAAAATTCTACACAATAAAAAACCAAGAGAACAGAGTTGTTTAATTCTAAATCCTCCACCACCACATACATTTATATGTTTGCGCTCGGTCTAATGGAGAAGCAGCTCTGTTGCAGGTATTAACGTTCCCAAATAGCAAAACCTAAGCTAGACTCTAGGGCAGAGAGCACCCGGGACACAAGAAAACTACTTCCAGGAAACCAAAGTGCCCCTGTGCAAATGCAAAGCCATCGGTAAAGCTCTTCTTCGCGCAAAAATAGCCGAAAAATATCTCACAGCTATAAACATGGAAGGAGTGTTACACATCAGCCCAAGAGAGGCCCAAGACTCGAAAAGAGATAGAGGTATGTAAGGATGTAAGAAAATGGACACTCGGGAATCTAGAATCGGCACAAGTCTGGAGTGATCAGCAGGGAAGGAGGAGGGTGCCATTGGGGCAGGAATTTGCACGTGCGCTCCCGGAACACCGGAGAATGTGGGGTCTGCCCCGGCGTCGGAGCCGGCGCAGCCTGCGGTGGTGGAGACCGCGATGCGGTCTAGAGTTTAAAGAAGTGAGGAGCGGGCGAGCGATGGCTAAGGAATGTGCAACAGTTAAGGACCCTTGCGTGCGATGCAAAAGCAAGCGCGCAAGCAAGGGAAGACTCAAGTGGGAGGAGGTGAGGGCCGCGACCAGAAGCCACCCTCCCCACGGGGAGTGGGAGGTTCAAAGGCCGCAGAGGCGGGAGACGAACTGAGTTTGGAGAGGCCGTGAGGGAAGCCTGGGATAGGGGTCTCGGGGCAGGCCCAGGCCGCCAGGACCCCAGCTACCTTGAGGGCTTCCAGCCGGTAGCGCTGGGTAGAGCTGGGGTCCATCATGACCGTCACCGCTTTCACTAGCTCCTCGCACAGCGCGTTCACTTGCTCCATCTCCATGGCTAGAGCCGGGAACACCACCGGCGTCCGGGGAGCACGAGGTACGCACGGTTCCCCTGGCGGGACCACACGTTGATACCGGGCCGCGGCGGGCTAGGGGTGGGGAAACGGGAGGAGGAGCGTGAGTATCAGAGGTTGGAGCTGGGAAGAACCCAGCGCTGCGCATGCGCCGGATCTGCCACCGCGCATGCGCGCGCGGAAGTGGCGGCTCAGTGAGACGGCCGCGCCTGGCTGGGCGGGGCTGGCGGCGGAAGTTCTGTGGTGCGCAGGCGCGTCAACCGTCTCTCTCAGCGCGCGCGGCGCTGAACTCCGAATTTCCCTCTGGGTTTGCTGTGGGGCGCAAGCCTTCAGGCTGTGAGGGCTGTTTGCTCGCGGGATCCTAGGGATACCTACTCGGTTCTCCGTGATCACGGGCAGTAAGTCTCTCTCGGAATCCGCTGATCTGCCCCTGGAGAGGCGACGACATCATCTAGACGCTTTTTCCTTCCAGCGGACTCAGCCCGGAGCCCTCAGCGTCGCTCTTGGCAGTTTTGACAGGTGTCGGTCGCCTGGGTAAGAACGTAAAGTCGGGGTTCGGGATCGCCGCGTCGGATTGCTTTTGCAGCCTTGGCTTGTCGGCTTTACTTGGACTGACTGGGCCGAAATGAAAACTTACTGGGAGAGAAGGCCTTGAGATTGTCTCTAAGGAGAGTTTTCCAGTAGAAAGCATTTTTCTTGTTAACTTTTAAACCTTCCTCTGCACCCGTACATATTTTCTCGTGCGTGTTACTACTACACGACCGACTCCAAACGTGTTTTGTAAAGAATAGGATGAACTGAGATGTTTGAAAACGCATTCCACTATACCTGGGAGGCTGAGGCAGGGGGATTGCTTCCAGTTGGAGGCCAGACTGAGCTACAAAGTGAGACCCTGCCTCACAAAAAAAAAAAACCAAAAGGGAGAAAAGCCAAACCCAAATTTCCATAGTCCTTTACGTTTTGGCATTGTGTTGATTTTTCGCCAATACATAAAAGTACAAAAGGAACACATAAATTTAGAGGCTTCATTATCTATCCTGCATATCCTACGTTTTGTGGGGTGTTTTTTCCACTTAGTAAATTGTTGCCCATAAATCACAGCTTCGCTTCTAGTTTTACCTCTAATATTTATGTCGAATATGGTACTTACCCTGTGTCAATATTTTCTTAATTATTTGTTTTCTTTACAGTAAGATTGCAGCTTTGCAGTAGTAGTTGGTTGACACTGTTCATTTGAAAAATAACTGTTTAAAGTTACAGTTGGGTGCTAGCTCATTCATCTGTATAACCTGTTTCTTGTATTTAAATCATGAATTTCCTGTGTTTCTGTAAAAAGTATATTTGTGATAGGCCATTGGTATGCAAAGCTACTGCATTCTGGAATTGTCTTGAGAACCTTTAAAAACCCCCGACAGTGGTGGCATGTGCCTGTAATCTCAGCATTTGGTGGGAGGAGCAAAGAGCTCAAGTTCATCCATGGCTACAGAGCAAGTTTTGACTACATTTGGGCTACATGACATTCAGAACCATTCTTCAAAACAAAAAAAGAAATTCCACAAATAGAAAGTCATTGAACATCACAAAGTAGTCGTCACAGGTAGGATCTATTGATAGTTGCGTAGTTAGAGAGACTCTGCAGAGAAACAGAATTTACATAGTATTAGATTATCCTCTTCATTTATGTGTATCTGTGTTTTCTGCTCACTTTCTATGTAACCCAGGCTGGCCTTGAACTCCAAACCTTTCTGTCTTAGCCTCTTGAGAGCTAGGACTTAAGAAGTGTGCCACCATGCTCTATATCTAAATGTCTCTAAAACCTATTTCAAGATTTAAAATTTACATGAGAACAGTTGTGGTGGCACACACCTTTAGCCCCAGTGCGCAGGAGGCAGTTTGTATCTCTATGAGGTTGAAGCCAGCCTGGTCAGCAGAGTGAGTTATGGGAAAGCTAAAGCTACTCAATGCAACCCTGTCTCACCAACACCCCCAACTCTTCATGAATGCTGTGACATTATATATATTTATTATCTTTCCAAATTCACAGAAGATTGAAGATGCCTTCTGGTATAGGACCTGCTTATGTCATTACATTCATAGGCATGCACACAGAGGCACTTGCTAAGGTTCAAAGTTGTGGTCTTGAGAATGCTAGGAAAGAGTGCTAACATTAAGCAACACTCCCCAAATACCTCAAATTATAACACCTAGGACTGTGCGAATAGATACCCTGTAACTCTTAGAGAATGATGGGAAGTGTCCATATGCATTCATTGCATGTAGTTTTTTTTTCCTGAATATTTTCAATCTGAGATTGATTGATATAGAACATTTTCTTCTCTTTTCCCTAAATTTATGTTTGAGATCTGTCAATCAACTTGCTGAGTCCGTTGTTAGGCATCATGAAACTTTGAGTGACCACAACCCCCATAGGCTTGTATGTCTGAATGCTTGGTCCTTAGTGGAACTGCTTGGGAAGAATTAGAAGAATGGCTTTGATGGAAAAGCTGTGACACTATGAAAGCTTAGAACCCTACCCCCAGGCCCAGTTTATTCTCTCTGTCTTTGGATCAAGATTTAAAGCTCTCAGGTACTGCTCCTGTACTATGCCTGTCTTCCTGCCGTGATGATCATAGACTAACCCTCTAGAACTGTAAGCAGGCCCCCAATTAAAGGCTTTCTGTCGCCTTGGTCGTGATGTCCCTTCACAAAAACAGAGCAGCAACTAAGACAGGCAACTTTTGGCTATATGTGTATCTTTTATGAGATGTCTTTTTCTTAGAATGAGTAGCCAGATGTGATGATGCATGCTTGTAATCTCACCACTTGGGAGGTAGAGGCAGGAGGATCAAGTAGAATTTGAGCCAAGTAGAACTATATTTAAAGCTTTAAGTATTTATCACCTTCATAAAATTATACTAGCTTGTTTTCATGTCAACAGTAGAGGAAAATAACCTTCATTCTTATTAGTTTCCACATTCCTATTGTTGTGGCTCATCAATTAAAATGTAGAAATGTGGTAGTTATTGTTTTGAGACAGGGTCTTACTATGTAAAACTGAAAGGTCTGCCTGCCTCGGCCTCCTGAGTGCTGAGATCAAAGATGTATAGTACCACACCTGGTAGAATACAATGGAGTGTTTTTGTATTTTAGATGAAGTATTTTCCTGATTGTAAATGTCTTCCAGAATGAAATGGCTCCTGGACAGGATCGAGTGGTTGCTCTTGTGGATATGGATTGTTTTTTTGTACAAGTGGAACAGCGGCAAAATCCGCATTTGAGGAATAAACCGTGTGCAGTTGTACAGTACAAATCATGGAAAGGTGGTGGGTATGTATCATGATCGTGTCATAACTTGTGGGGCTGTGGAATCCTGGGTGTTCGGCCACGCCCCCAGAACCCAGAGACCTGACAAGAGAGTCACATAAGGCCCAGGTAGAGGGCGGGCTAACAGGTCTCCCAAGCCCCTCCTCTCCCCAATATAAGAAAACCCCTTCCGACATTTTTTGGGAGAGCTTGCCACCATCCAAACCCACCGCCATGTCAATAAATCTCCATGTCTTAAATCTCCACGTGTCTCTCGAAATCCTGGACTCGAACCCGCTGGGCGGTGCTGGGGGGGTAAGCCTTTCTCTCCCTTGTAACCGTGGTTCGAGAGACTACATGGGCTCCGCCCAGCACAACTGAACAGCGCGTCTCCCGGCGGTCTGCGCTGTTGAGTCCTGCCGGGAAGTGCCTTAGCGCCTGACAAACGCGCGCCACGATCCCCTGGCTCCACCGCCCCGCAACCCCCAGGCACGAGCATTGCCCAACAATAACTAGTGTGTGTGTGTCTGTGTGTGTGTGTGTGTGTGTGTGTGTGTGTGTGTGTGTCTGTGTCTGTGTGTGTCTGTGCGCGTTCGCGCTTGGGGAAATGAGAAGTTAATATTGAGGGGTCTTCCTCAGTTGCTCTCTACTTTATATTTTGAGAGTCTATCATTGGCCGGGCGGTGGTGGCGGCGCACGCCTTTAATCCCAGCACTTGGGAGGCAGAGGGAGACGGATTTCTGAGTTCGAGGCCAGCCTGGTCAACAGAGTGAGTTCCTGGACAGCCAGGGCTATACAGAGAAACCCTGTCTCGAAAAAACAAACAAACAAAAAAAAAAAAAGAGAGAGAGAGAGAGTCTATCATTGAATCTGAAGCTTGCCGATTCAGTGAGGCTGTCAGGCCAGCAAGCTCCCTTGTCAGACCTAGGATTAAAGGCATATGCTATTGTACACAGCTTTTTCTGTGGGTCCTGGGGAATCCAAACTCAAATGTGTCTGTCTGTGCAGGAGGTACTTTAGTAATTGAACCATCTCTCCAGCCCCTCCTAATAGTTTGAAGTGTCTTTATGTGTGTGAGTATTTTGTGCACATGTCTGTACTACCTGTACACAGTACCCACAGAGGCTAAAAGAGGGTGTCAGACCCCCTGGGACTGGAGTGAGAGAGTTGTAGGACACCAGGTAAAAAGAGCAACCAGTGCTCTCAACCCTGGGCCCCACTGGTGTTTTAATCCACGGACACCGATAGTTCTGTTCTAGATCTTGTTTTTGAGATTTCTGAACTACTATGTCTGGGATTGAATATTAGCATTATGTAACATTTTTGGGTTTGCTTCCTTTTCTCTCCTCTAACTTTAGAATTATTGCAGTGAGCTACGAAGCTCGTGCATTTGGTGTCACCAGAAACATGTGGGCAGATGATGCAAAGAAGTTATGTCCAGATCTTCTCCTGGCGCAAGTTCGTGAGTCCCGTGGGAAAGCCAACCTCACCAAGTAAGCAGAAAGCATTGTAAAAGAACATAGAGGAGTATGAAGACATTGTAAAAGAACACAGAGGAGTTAGAAGACGTTGTAAAAGAACACAGAGGAGTTAGAAGACGTCTCCTGGGTGTGGGGTGTGGCTCAGTGGTAGTGATTGCCCAGCATCCATGAGCTCCCAGGTTTAACACTTAAAAACAAAGTCACAGCGATATTGCTAGCCTGCTCTGCTCCTTGCTCCATAAGCTGCCGTTTATACTAATATGAAAGCATTCTGTCAGCATCCTGTGCATCTGTGTTAAATACTTTATGTGTACTTCAGTAGTAACAGTTTCAATATTGCTTTTAATAGTTCTTGCCTTTATGGAACCATTTATCATCTTCCTTATTTAAAAATCAATTATTGGGGCTGGAGAGATGGCTCAGTGGTTAAGAGCACTGGCTGCTCTTCCAGAGGTCCCGAGTTCAATTCCCAGCAAACATATGGTGGCTCACGACCATCTGTAATGGGATCTCATGCCCTCCTCTGGTGTGTCTGAAGAAAGCAATGGTGGTGTACTCATATGCACAAAATAAATAAATAAATCTTTTTTAAAAATCAATTATTATGGGAAGATGAAAGATGGCCCAATGGTTAAGAACATATACTGCTCTTGCAGAGGATTTGAGGTTCCCAGCATCCACACTGGACAGTTCACAACTGCCTATAACTCCAGCAACAGAGGGATTGGAGGCCTCTGGCTTCTGAAGGCACTTGCAGTCAGTTGCACATATTATACACCTTCCCTTCACATAATTTTTTTTTTTAAAAAACATAATTTTTTGTTTTTTGTTTTTTTCCCAAGACAGGACTTCTCTGTGTAGCTCTGGCTATCCTGGAACTCGCTCCATAGACCAGGCTGCTCTCAAATTCAGAGTTCCAACTGCCTCTGCCTCCCAAGTGCTAGAATTGAATTTAAATCTGTTATTACTGGGTTGGTGACATGGCTCGTCAGGTGTTCCTACCTGGAACCCACATGGTAGAAAGAAGCAACTCTTGCGCACTGTCTTCTGACACACAGCAGATTCGCGCACACACACATGATAGATGGATTAGTATACAGGTCTCTGGGTGGATAGGGAGATAGAACAGTTGTCATTCAAACTTTATACTGGGTCAGTGAGGTGGCATAGTGGGTAAAGGTGGTGGAAGGAGAGAACCAATTCCCAGAAGTTGTCCTCTGACTTCCACACACATGTATATGTATAGACATACACACTCAAACATAATAAAACCATTTCAAATATAATTGCACAAGGACTAGAGAGATGGCTTAGAAGTTAAAGAGCTTCTTCTCTTCCAGAGGACCCCAGGTTCAGTTACCAGCAGCTGCATAGATGCCCTTTTAGACTAAGGCCTTTTCTGATGATCTTTAATGAAGCAGCTCTCTGAGATGATCTTAGCTTGTTCATACTTCTTTATCCAGGGTAGGTTTTAAGGCATACCCTTTATTTTGGGGGTGAACCAAGGGTTATATGATTTTGAGGCTGAGAGTACTCAGGGTGGAAAAAGTCATTGGCTGACATCTAAGGTACTGAGATGCCACATTAGCATGGAGAGGTGTACAGGTGCTGTGCTACATGACTGACTACTTGTGACCACGTGGTTGGGGGCTCTGGGTCACATGCTCGAGGCAGGCATGGAAACAGGGAGAGGGTTAGCCCTACTCCTGTTGGTCTTAGGATGAGATTCTAATATCAAATTTTTGATATTTCCAGGTTTTGAACATGCTCAACCTTACCTGTTCCATGCCAGTTTCTCTGGTGGCATGGTCCACTTGTCCTGCATACATTATCACAGTACATTATGTTGTATGGTATGGTATAGATATCAGGCATTGATGAACTGACAGGTGAACTGGAAGGCTAAAGATACAGTTGACAAAAGATTAGGGGTGGAGGTGGTGCATGCCTTTAATTCAAGTACTCAGGTTTAATCTCAGTAATTGAAGCAGAGGCAGGCAGATGTGAGTTTGAGGCCAACCTGGTCTACAGAGCTAAATCCACGACAGCCTAAGCTATACGGAGAAATCCTGTCTTGAATAACAACAACAAAAAATAGCTCAACCATAGACAGCAGAATTAAGTCAGTTAATACACATGCCGTATTGCATGCTATGTTAGCTGTATAGTTTCTGTGAAAGATACATTGTTGACTTCACAGTTTGGGGAAAAGCACACCTCACTAACATAAACAGAAGTAGTTGGGTATGTAGCATATCCCTGTAAAGCACTTGGGATATGGACAGAGGAGGGTCTAAAGTTAAAGTCATCCCTAGATACACAGTGAATACGTGTGGAGTGTATGAGACTCTGCCTCAGAAAATAAAACAAAGTGCAAAGCAGCTCTAGTAAATCATGAACAGTCGTGGATTTAGGATGTTTGCAAATGAGTCTCTAGGTTAGAGAGTTTAGAGGACCTGGCTATTTAAAATCATTTTAATAAAGATACCAGGTTATAAATATACTACTGACAAAAACATGTCTTAGATTGGGTTTCCATTGCTGTGAAGACACACCATGACCAAGGCAACTCATAAAGGACAGCATTTAACTGGGGCTTGCTTACAGTTTCAGAGGTTCAAATCATTATCATCATGGTGAGAAGCATGGTGGCAAGCAGGCAGACATGGTGCTGGAGGAGGACTGGAAAGTTCTACATTTTGATTTGAAGGCAGCCTGGAAGAGACATTGGGTGGAGCTTGAGCACTAGGAGCCCTCAAAGCCTGTCTACACACAGTGATACACTTCTTCCATTAAGGCCACACCCATTCTGACAAGGCCACACCTCCTAATAGTGCTGCTCCCTGTGGGTCAAGCATTCAGACACTGGAGTCTCTGGAGGCCACACCCATTCAAACCACCAACCGTATGCAATAAGTAATTTGTTAGGTTTTTCAAACATCCTTCAAAACAGTAACTTGCTTGAGAGGCTGTAAAGACATAAACTTCTACAATAGAGTATTGTTTTGTGGCTGGTATAAGAGTTATTTATTGTACACTAGTTTTTTTGTTTGTTTTTTCCTTTGAGTATTTTTCCTAATACAGGTAAAGATTGTAAGAGAAAAGTCAGATAATCGATAATTCTCATTTTTTTAATTATTGGCCTCCTTTTCTTTAATTATTGTTACAGTATATATGTTACATTATTGTTACATATATATACATGCGTGTTTTCACATATACTCAGTCTGTATATGTTTTGTTTTGTTTTTTTACGTACAAGCTAGGATGCCTGCCCAGGAGTAACACTGCCCTCAGTGAACTGTGCCTTCTTCCCATAGCAAACGTAGATTAAAGATGCCTCACAGACTTACCCACAAGCCAGTCAGATGAAGGCATTTTCTTATTCGACGTTTTCTCTTCCCAGATGACCCTAGCTTGTGTCAAGTTAACAAAAGACTATCCCATGTCTTAAATAGATCTCTGATGACATATTCCCCTGAAGAAGGTAGCCCATCTTTAAGGTTGTCTTTATGGTTTGAATGACAGTGTATTCAGAGTGGTTAGCTTATATTACCTAAACACTATTGACTGACATTGAAGTCCATAGTCAGTCAGTCAATTTGTAGTGAGAGTTGCTGTCATTAGAAAGATCTGGTATGTGAGTGCCATGTTCTCTGTAAGTTATAGTTGTTTGAAGATAGACTGAAGCAAAAAACCGTTCAGTTGTGTATAAGTGGGAAAGCGGTAAGCGAGCAGAGAGTGTTTCAGAACGCTAGGTGTTTCTTTCCTGTTTTAGAGAGGTCCTTGTCACAAAGGTATATATGTTTGGGGTCTGGATGCTTTTTTAAACTTAGTATAATGCTAACATTGCATGAAAAGGCTTTCCTAGGACTCATTCTTTTCCTCGTTTCTATTGCTTTTCTATCTATCCACTGTTACCTTCAGTTGTGTAATTATTATATCTTTATTAAGCTAATTGTTACTTGCTTATGGATAGTCTTGTTCGTTATGGAAAGAAGAACATGGGGTTGAGAGCCACAAGCTTGTATTCACTTATTGCCTGTATGTGTGATCCTATACTTAGGTACCGGGAAGCTAGTGTTGAAGTGATGGAGATAATGTCTCATTTTGCTGTGATTGAACGTGCCAGCATCGATGAGGCTTATATAGATTTGACCAGTGCTGTGCAAGAAAGACTTCAAAAGTTACACGGTCAGCCTATCTCTGCAGACTTGTTGCCAAGCACTTACATTGAAGGGCTGCCCCGAGGCCCTACAGTAGAAGAGACTGTTCAGAAAGGTACTTGTATAGCGTCACATTACTTTTGCTTCCTGCCTTTGGAACCTGCTTTTCATGGTTAAGCTGATTCTTTTTAGAATAATTGAAAGGAAACTTAAATTACCAACTGTATATATCATGAGAAGATGTATAAAAACTTATTTTTCTGGATATTTGCATAATGAAAAACTGTAAAATGTTTGTGATAGTTAATATCTCTTTAGATATGTAGTTGGGGCAGTTTAATGTTATCAATGGAAGGTAGAAGACTGAATAATTCTTTTGTCTGTAGGTTAATTTATATTATTGTCATTTAGTTTCTTGATTTGTTTAATAATAAGCAGAATGAGCTTTTCATTTTTTACTTATTTTTATGTGTTTTGTCTGTATATATGTCTTTGGAGCACAGGTGTACAGTGTGGGAGGAGGCCAGAAGAGGATATTGGATCCCGTGCAATTGGCTTTACTGATAGTTATTGATAGTTGTGAGCTGCTATGTAGGTGTTGGGAATTGAACCTGGGTCCTCCGGAAGAGTAGACAGTGCTCTTAACTGCTGAGCCATCTCTCTAGCACCAGAATAAGCTTTTAAAATGGAGGCCTTAGGAATAGAGAGTTGACTAATTTCAATTTTCCCCTCAAAGAGAAGGGTCTTTCTTTTCTTTTTATCAATTTGTTTACTTTCCATACCAGTCGAAGCTTCCTCACCCTTCTTTCTGCGCTGTCTATGCTGGCTTCAGATCCTCTAACCTTCTCCCCCAGCCACTGGAATGACTAGGACTACAGGCTTGTGCTGCCACGTGGGTGTGAGGCATTTCTTTTGTTTTGCACTTCAAACCAAGTGGGAAGAGTCTGCGGTGGCTGGGCCTGTGATCATGTTCTGCAGGTGTCCTTTCTATGGCTATGCAGGTACCATGACCAAGGCAACTTACAGAAGGAAGAGATTACTGGGCTGATAGTTCCAGTGGATGAGTCCATGACTATCATGAGGAACAGGGCAACAGGCAGGCAGGCATGGTGCTGGAGCAGTAGCTGAGAGCTTTCATGCTGGACAACAGCCACAAGGAAGAGAGGCCTAACAAGGAATGTCATGGGTATGGGCTTTGAAACCTCAAATAGTACCCCCAAGGACACATCTCTTAATTCTCCGTGAACACCAAAACTTGCACCAAATGGGGGCCATGTTTTCAAATATATGAGCTTATGGGGGACATTCTCATTCAAACCCCACAGCAAATAAAGGCACGTAGTGCCTGATGGGCTTACTGACGGACCTTAGGATTACTGAGTTCAATCCTTGCAGTGTGAGAGGGAAGAACGGACTCCTGCACACTGTCCTTTGACCTCCATGCATGTGCATTGGTGCATGCTCCTCCCCTGACCTCTAAAACTTTATGTATTTTTAAAATTTATTTTTATTTTATACTCATTGACGTATTGCCTTCATGTATGTCAGAAGCCCTGGGACTGGAGTTACAGATAGGTATGAGCTGCCAAATGGGTGCTGGGAATTGAACCAGGATCCTCCGGTAGAGTGGCCAGTGCTCCCAGTTGGAAGCCATATGCTCCAGCTCCACAAATAATGATTGAAAAAGAGTTAAGGTAGTTTAAGTAAGAAAATGTGGGTGAAGCGGGGGGGGGGGGGGGGGTTGAAGTGATACAGGAAACCATTTTGAAATGGGCTCTGTTGGCTGACTACACAGTGGAAAATGAAAGGGAAAAGTTAATGTTAGTTACATTCTAGCTTTTATTAAAAACAGAGCATTGAGAGAGGGAACCTTTGAGAAAGAAGATATGCTTGATTTTAGTTATGTTTAGTTTGAATTCTTATAGAATGATAAGCATGAGAGGAGTTACTCTGTCAGGAGGCGGCAGTGAAGATGGGTGCTGGAGTGAGCTCAGGGTCAGAGAGAGATTTGCATGTACTCAGTAGAGTCAGGCGGACCATAGGATTACTAGTTTACCAAGGGGAAGACAGAGAGGGGAGAAAGTGTGGCTCACTTGTCGTGGGAGGGGGCTGGCAGATGACACGACAGCTCTGGAGAGACGCAGCAGTCACTGAAGGGTGGCAAGGGTTTCCTTCTCCTGCTCATCCGACTCTGCATGCTCATCCGACTCTGCATGCTCATCCGACACATCTTCTCTATGGTGTTTGGACTTTGACTTCTCCCAAGTACTCTGAGGATCTTTACTTGCCCTATACCTATCTCACTACTGCATCTTTAACCAGCATGTTTGTATTTCCTGTGGATCCATTTCCTTTGCTACGTAATCATGGGTTTTTGTTTTGTTTTGTTTTTTGTTTTGTTTTTTGGTTGTTTTTTTTTTTTTTTTTTTTTGGTTTTTCGAGACAGGGTTTCTCTGTATAGCCCTGGCTGTCCTGGAACTCACTCTGTAGGCCAGGCTGGCCTCGAACTCAGAAATCCGCCTGCCTCTGCCTCCCAAGTGCTGGGATTAAAGGCGTGCGCCACCACCACCTGGCCATAATCATGTTTTATTCTATTTCACAACTGTGAATTTGTGAATGATCATTAAGTTCACTGTCATGAATAGTCCTGAATTGAGTTGTAAAGATGTTTTTGGTTGAGTTTTAAACTACTCATATGGAATCATTCCCTAAAACAATGTAAATATTTAAGTGAAAGTTGAAGCTTGAGTAAATTATGAATGTTTACTCTGGGTTTTTTTGTTTTGTTTTTGAGACATAGCTTGATACCCAGACCAAGCTGGCCTTGAACTTGCAGTGATCCTACAGCCTCTGCCTTCTTCTTCTTCTTTTTTTTTTGGTTGTTGTTTTTTGAGACAGGGTTTCTCTTTATAGCCCAGGCTGTCCTAGAACTCACTCTGTAGACCAGAATGGCCTCAAACTCAAACACCACTGCCTGGCCTGCCTCTGCCTTCTGAATGCTGTGGTGATAGTTATGCACTCCCATCCCCAACAACTCTGAATGTTTCCTAATGAAGAGGAAGTTTAAGAAGCCTGTCGGTATTGCAGTGCACGCCTTTTATCCCAGCACTTGGGAGGCACACAGGCAGGCAGATCTCTGAGTTCAAAGCTAGCCTGGTCTACAAAGTGAGTTCCAGGACAGCCATAGCTACACAGAGAAACCCTGTCTCAAGGAAAAAAAAAAAAAACAACAATAAGAGGAAGTGTAAGGAAGAAAATTTGAGGAAACATACTTAAATCACTGTTTATGGGCTGGTAGAATACATATCTAGCATATGTGAATCATGGGTTCCAGCCTCAGTACTGCAGAAATCAGTCATCATTATTCATGAATATTAATAGAAACCATTTGCTACACATTATCACTGTAAGTTTTCACAGAAGCTGAAAGTAAGGCTGCTGGAAATGGTGTGTGTGGATGTGATTGCTCTAATAAACCTTTGTGTCTAGGGCTGGTGAACAGTCTCAGCAGTTAAAAGGGCCCACTCCCTTTGGCCCACCTATGCATATGCACATACAAACAAAACAAATAAAATGTAATCATAAAATGGGGCTGGACAGATGGCTTAGTAGTTTAAAAAGGCCTAGCTGTCCTGAAGGGACCCACATTTGGTTCCCAGCATTCACATTGCTGGACGCACAGCCACCTGAAACTCCAGCTCCAAAGCATCCAGGACCACCTTCTGCCTCCAGTGTACCCGCACATGCATGAGGTGAAATTTTGAAGTAAAGTTGTATATCTTAATATCTTATTGCCTCTGTCTCCCAAGTGCTAGGATTAAAGGGGTGTGCCACCATGCCCAGCCTAAAATCAAATCATTTTTTCACTGAATGATAAATATAGTCATGTGCTGCTTAATATCTGGGATATTCTTTGGGAAATGTGTCACTAGGCGATTTTATAGTGCAGACTTAGGGAAAGCTAGATCATACAGTCTATTACATGTTAAGTTCTATTGACACACACTGTGATTTATGAGCAAATATTATGTGATTCACGACTGAAAATAATTAATTACAAAAATGTCAGCTGGGCAGTGGTGGCGCACGCCTTTAATCCCAGCACTTGGGAGGCAGAGGCAGGCAGATTTCTGAGTTGGAGGCCAGCCTGGTCTACAGTGGGAGTTCTAGGACAGCCAGGGCTACACAGAGAAACCCTGTCTCAAAAAATAAAAACAAGCAAAGAAATGTCTAAATGTGATCTCAACTTTTTTCAGAGGATCTTCGAAAACAAGGCTTACTTGAGTGGCTTGATTCTCTTGAGAGTGATGGCCCCCCCTCTGCAGACCTGCGGCTGACTGTGGGAGCCGTGATTGTGGAGGAAATGAGAGCGGCCATAGAGAGGAAGACTGGCTTTCAGTGCTCAGCCGGGATCTCACACAATAAGGTGAAGGCTTACTGTAGACTTCAAAGAGAAGCATCAATATGTTTAGTACAACAAGGATAGTAGTGGATATTTAGAGTTCCTGTTGAGAGCCAATTGTGGTAGTACATGTCTGTACTTCTGCTGGGGAGGGAGAAGCCGGAAATCATGGGGGCCTGGGCTCAGTGCTTAAGAGCACTGACTGTTCTTCCAGAGGATATGGGTTCAATTCCTACCACCCACATGGTGGCTCACAGCTGTCTGTAACTACAGCTCCAGGGAACCCAATACTTCTTGCCTATGAGGACACTGTATGCACATGCTGCACAGACACACATGCAGGCAGGCAAAAGACCCATACACGTAAAAGGAGCATAGTTTTTGTCTTGTTTCATGTTTTGGGACTGGTAAGATGGTTCAGTAGGTAAAGGCACATGACATCAAGCCTAACAACCTGCGTTCTCTCCCTAGAACCCACATGGTGGGGAAGAGAGCTACGTCTTGTGGGTTGTCTTCTGACTTCCACATGTGCAACACCACCCACAAATGTAATTTAACAAAAAAAACCCAACAAAACAACAGAAAAAAATCTTAGCTACACTGGGCCATGGAGATAACATGTCTTTTATCCCAGCACTCAGGAGGCATAGATCTCTGAGTTTGAAGCTACTGAGGTTTACAGAGTGAATACCAGAACAGCCAGGGCTACACAGGAAAACCCTGTCTCAAATAAAAACAAGCAAAAACTTCACTAAAATAAATTCATGTTGAAACTCAAATAAAGACTTAATATTAGTTGACATTGCATAAGTATTTTCCTAAACAGCAGCCTGAAAATTGACAAAAAAAAATATATATATATTTATTTATTTATTTTTTGTTTGTTTGTTTGTTTGTTTTGTTTTGTTTTGTTTTTCAAGACAGGGTTTCTCTATATAGCCCTGGCTGTCCTGGAACTCACTCTGTAGACCAGGCTGCCTTGAACTCAGAAATCTTCCTGCCTCTGCCTCCCAAGTGCTGGGATTAAAGGCGTGCGCCACCACCGCCCAGCTAAAATATATTTTCTTTTTTTCTTTTCTTTTTTTTTTAACTTTATTTATTTATTTATTTATTTATTTATTATAAGTACACTCACTGTAGCTGTCTTCAGACACCCCACAAGAGGGCATCAGATCTCATTGCAGATGGTTGTGAGCCACCATGTGGTTGCTGGGATTTGAACTCATGACCTCTGGAAGAGCAGTCAGTGTTCTTAACCACTGAGCCATCTCACCAGCCCTAAAATATATTTTCTTAATGACGGAAATATCTGTATAGAAAAGCAGAGGCTTTGAACTCATAGACAGCCTATTTCTTTCATTTCCACTTACTATATAATTTTGTTGTTAGTTTGTAACTTTCTGAGGCAGGGTCTCATGTGGCTGAGGCTAGGCTCAAACTGCATGTGTACCCAAAATGACTCTGACCCTCCTATCTGTGCCTCCCAAGTCCTGGACGGTAGGTCTGTGCTACTACACTCGGCATTCTTGTTTCCTTGGATGGAATGGCCTGGATATCTCATGCTTCTCTCTGTTCCTTGTATGTGTGTGTGCGTGTGTGTGTGTGTGTGTGTGTGTGTGTAGCTATGTTTGTATGATGTATGCATGTATGTCATAATCTATTACCCCTGTGCTTTATTTCTTTTGAGGCAGGGTCTCTCTCTGAACCTAAAACTATCATTTTTTTGGAGAGAGGGAGCTATGCTCACAGCTAGCTAGCACCAGATATCTTCCTGTCTCTTCCCCCTCCAATGCTGGGGTGCAGGTGTTTGCAGGATTATGCCCAGCTTGTTTCAAATGTGCTGGGATTCAAACTGCAGTCCTCAGGCCTTAGAGCAATGGGGGCAATAAGAAAAAGGCTGTACTCGGGGCAGTGGTGGCACACACCTTTAATCCCAGCACTTGGGAGGCAGAGGCAGGCAGATTTCTGGGTTCGAGGCCAGCCTGGTCTACAGAGTAAGTTCTATACAGAGAAACCCTGTCTCAAAAAAAAAAAAAACAATGTAAGATTTTAATTTGGACTAATGTTTTTACAATAGGGAACACAGACAATTCTCAGTGTTCCAGGAGCAGAATAGCTGATTTTCTAACTAACAGGGTAAAGTGCAGTGAGACTGTGGGACACCCATCAGCTCAGCCAAGGCTCCATAACTGAGCAGTGGCTGCCAGGCTGTCGCCACCCTCCCCTCCCCTAACAGAAGGAAGGTTGCTAAGCTGCACAGAAGAACTTTCTATTTTCTGGCTATATGGAAGGAAGGGAAACAGTATTCCTAATGTAATATAAATTATACGAAATATTGTTTTGTTGAAGTTACTAAAGAATTTTACTAATAGTTGGACATGGTGCATGCTTTTAATCCTAGCACTTGGGAGGCAGAGGTAGGCGGATCTTTGTGAGTTTCAGTCCAGCCTCGTCTACATAGTGAGTTCAAGTACAACTAAGGCCAGATAATAGAGAAACCGTCAAGGTTCTCTAGAGCAGTGATCCTTAACTTATGGGTCATGACCTCTTTGGGGGTGGAAAGACCCTTTCACAGAGGTTGAATATTAGGTATTCTACATGTCACGTATTTACATAACAGCAGCAGAGTTAGCAGTTATGAAGTAGCAATGAAATAATTTTATGGCTGGAGGCCACCGTATCGTGAAGTATATTTAAGGGTTGTAGCATTAAGAAGGTTGAGAACCACTGTCCTAGTGGAACAGAACTTATAGAATGAAAGCATATATTTATGAAATTTGTTAGAATGGCTTACAGGCCGGTCTAGCTTGTCCAACAATTCCTGTTAACCAACAGAAGGTCCAAGAATCTAATAGTTGTTCAGTACATGAAGCTGGATGTCTCAGGTGGCCTTCAGTATATGCTAGAATCCCAAAGAAGCAGGCTCTAGTGCCAGTAAAGGATGGACTTGTCAGTGAAAGCAAGCAGGCAGAGAGAGCAAGGTCCTCCTTCTGTTTTTTTATATAGGCTGTGAGCAGAAGGTGTGGCCCAGGCTAAAAGTAGATCTTCCCATTTCAAAAGATCCTGATTAAAAGTGGGTCTTCCCATTTCAAATAATTAATTAGGAAGAAAAATCTCTCACAGGGATACCCAACCACTTGGGTTTTCGTTAATCCAGATGTGGTCAAATTAACACCCAAGAATAGCCATCACAGATCATGTCTCAAAGGAAAGAGAAAGAATCCTAGTAGTGAAATTGAGGAGTAGTCATATGTAACTATATATCTGTCTATATGGGGGTAAACATCTGTAAACCATCTTGATTATATGTGTGTGTCTGTGTAGGGAGGGAGCCAAGGCCAGTCTCTAGCCTCTGCTCCTTCCACACTCAGTCCCAAATGTTGGCAGTACAGGATTGTACCACTGTTCTCCGCCTATTTTAGCATTTTTCAAATTTACATGAATGCAAAGTGGATCTTAAGTTTCTTCTCTTTTTTTAAACCTATTGTGAGAAAAATCTCAAATAGATGAAAAAAGAAAACAATACCTTGAGGAAAACTGAGAATGGAAGAGCGTAGGGAGGACTATGAGGAAATGACTTCATGTGGAAACTATTAGTGTGTGCGTTCAAGGCAGTGTGTGGTGTGCACATGGACGCACGTGCGTGTTCTTTTACCTTAACAGTATTAAGGATGTACTGCTCTCTGTTCTTCCAGGTCCTGGCAAAGCTTGCTTGTGGACTAAACAAGCCCAACCGCCAAACTCTGGTCTCACATGGGTCAGTGCCACAGCTCTTCAGCCAGATGCCCATTCGTAAAATGTAAGGATTGGGGGAGGATTCAATTCCATCATGTCTCCGTGGATGCTCTCTGCTTAGAGTGGCTTTTGTGCTTTATTCATAAATGTTTGGACTCAGAAAATAGGTACCAGTCAGAGAGGCAACACTGAAAAATTTGAAAACTATAATTTAGGCTTTTTTCTAAGTGATTTTTTTACTTCAGGATTATCTATGGTATATACCTAATCCTGAATTTAAAAAACAAACTACCAGGTATAGTGATGTACACCTTTAATTCTAGCACTCAGGAGGCAGAGGCACCAGGATCTTTGAGTTTAAGACCAACCTGGTCTACATAGCTAGTTCCAGAACAGCCACGCTATGTAGAAAGACCCTCAGAGCAACCAGAAAGAAGTGAAAGGTGGGCATGGTGACATATACCTATAATCCAAGCACTAGAAAGACAGTGGCAGGAGCTATACTTATGAATTCAATACCTGGTCACCCAGGGCTGCATAGGCTGACTATATCCAAATAAAACAAAGGCCTGGGAAGAGCTCACTTGTTGCCCAAATTTCTTCCCATCCCTTCCCCAGTAACAGCCAGATGTGGCTGCCTATGCATTCCCCTGTAACCTCAGGGCTGTGGAGGAAGAAGAGTGCCCTATAACCCATGAACTGTGGGGGATGGAGACAGAGATTCCTTGCACTTTGCTGGTTGACACCTAGCTCCAAGTACAGTGAGAAACATTGTCTCAAGGAAATAATTCCAAGAATGATAGGATACCTTAAATTCTCTAGCTTATGTATGAACATACACACACACACACACATACTCTCACATACACTCCTGAGTTTTAGCTCTATCTTCCTTCTGGCTTTTTATTAAAAGTCTATTAAATATGTAACAAATAAAAATTTTACTTCTTAGCTGGGCAGTGGTGGCACATGCCTTTAATCCCAGGACTCGGGAAACAGGCAGGGGGAGCTCTGTGGGTTTGAAACAGCCTGGTCTACAGAGTGTGTTTCAGGACAGCCAAGGATACACAGAGACCCTATCTTGAAAAACAAAACAAGCTGGGCAGTGGTGGCACACGCCTTTAATCCCAGCACTTGGGAGGCGGATTTCTGAGTTTGAGGCCCGCTTTGTCTACAGAGTGAGTTCTAGGACAGCCAGGGCTACACAGAGAAACCCTTTCTCAAAAAAACAAAAACAAACAAACAAAAAAAGTTTTTCTCCATTGGGCAGTAATAGTAAGTAATAGTACCTGAGAGGTAGAGGCAAGTGGATCTCTGTGAGTTCAAGGCCAGCCTGGTGTACACAGCAAGTTCTAGGACAGCCAGGACTGCATAAAGAAAACAAACAAAATAGTTTTTTTCCTTCTCCTGGGAGGGTGCTGACGCAAGGTCTCATTGCACATCTGTGCTGGCCTCATACTGGTGGTGCCCCTTGTGTCCCAGCCTACTAAATGCTAGGATTATGGGTTGGAGCTACTACATCCAGCTGGAATTTACTTTCTCTATTATCAAGGGGTTTGCTTGCTTGCTTGCTTGCTTGCTTGCTTGCTTGCTTGCTTATTACAATAGAGTCTAACTCTGTTGCCCAAGCTAGCATTCCTGGCTAGCTTGTGCCACCCAGGCTCATCTGAAACTCAGTTTATCCCCGTACTTCAGCTCACTGAATGCTTGGACTCAGTTTATCCCCCTACTTCAGCTCACTGAATGCTTGGGGTTACAGATGTAAGCTAGCATACCTGGCATAACCAAGGTTTTCAGATCTGCCAAACTGCTCTCCAATGAGGCATGAGAACAAAACTGATCCAAGAAAGCTTTATGGGTTGGAGGTGGTAGAGAGCCAGCCAAGGACACAGCAGCATGGAGACGTTGAGCAAAAAGAAGGGAAAGTGTTCAGATATTCTCAGTAAACCAAGGGAGCCAGGCAGGGTCTGTATTGATGAAGACACTGAAATAGAAATGCTGATGGTGGGCTGAGGAGAGAGTCTTCAAACCCAGTGAAGAATACTGGCCATAGGAAAGATTTATTTTGGGTTTGGAAATTTTTTAATTTTTTTATTTGTTTTGGTTTTTTGTTTGTTGGTTTGCTTTTTTTCAAGACAGGGTCTTCTGTAGCTCTGGCTGTTTTGGAATTGACTCTTTAGACCAGGCTAGGCTTAAGCTCACAGATCCACCTGTCTCTGCCTCCTAAATTCTGGGATTAAGTGCCATGCTGGGTTTGGATTTTTTTTTTTTTTGGTTTGGTTTGGTTTTTCTTTTCTTTTTTTTTCTTTTTGGTTTTTCGAGACAGGGTTTCTCTGTGTGGCCCTGGCTGTCCTGGAACTCACTCTGTAGACCAGGCTGGCCTCGAACTCAGAAATCCACCTGCCTCTGCCTCCCAAGTGCTGGGATTAAAGGCGTGCTCCACCACTGCCGGGCTGGGTTTGGAATTTTAATTTCCAAATGGAACAATGTGTTTTACACAACTGAAAATTTTATATACAAGAGCAAGAAAAAGGAAAATTTACATACAGTTGACTTGATAATAAATCAATGATGAATATTTTATTTCCTGTTAATCTTCCCAGGTCCTAGATGGGAAGAATCATCTAGCTTTGTTTTTCTGTATGCGCATGTGCATGTGAGTGCAGGTGCACTTGAGGAGCTGACTGTCATCGGGGTTGCTGGCATCAGACTCTTTCTTTAGTCAGCATGGCTGCTTGCTGAGAACCTCAGCTCTGAGTCAGACAGCTAAGAGTTTATAGTACTAAAGTGTACTCTGATTTTCTCTAAACCTTTTGGAGAGCTGCTTGGAGGAGCAGAATGTCTTTGTTTTGGTTAGCTGAATATTTAAATGTAACCTATAAATTCCTTCTCTCCTTTGTTTAGCCGAAGTCTTGGAGGAAAGCTAGGGGCTTCTGTCATTGAAGTACTTGGGGTAGAATACATGGGTGACCTGACCCAGTTCACTGAATCCCAGCTCCAGAGTCATTTTGGAGAGAAGAATGGGTAAGTGGTTTATATTCTTCTTTAAATTTTTGTTTTGTTTTTAAGACAGTGTCTTCGTGTATAGCCCTGGCTGTCCAGGAACTCACTCTGTAGTCCAGGCTACCCAGGAACTCACTCTGTAGACCAGGCTGGCCTTGAATATATCACCTGCATCTACCTCTCAAGTGCTGGGATTAAAGGTGTATGCCACCACACTTGGCTATAAGTGGTTAATATTACTTTTCAAACATAATCTTTTTTTTGTTTGTTTGTTTTTTGTTTTTTTTTTTTTTTTTTGGTTTTTTGAGACAGGGTTTCTCTGTGTAGCCCTGGCTGTCCTGGAACTCACTCTGTAGACCAGGCTGGCCTCGAACTCAGAAATCCGCCTGCCTCTGCCTCCCAAGTGCTGGGATTAAAGGCGTGCACCACCACTGCCCGGCTCAAACATAATCTTTATGGAGATTCTAAATTCAGTACAGGTAAAATAGCTTTTACTTGAAAGATCCAGATAGCCCAGGCCAGATTCAAACTTGCTATGTAACCAAAGGTAACCTTGAAGTGCTGGTCCTGGATCTCTCTACCTTCCAAATCCTTAGATAACAAACAGTCATCAGTGTACCCAGCCTATGGCTTGTATCCCATGAGGTCATTTCATGGTTTGGGTGGCCTGCGATCTGAGGACTGGGGAGGTAGACGCACAAGTCTGAGCTCCATATGATCCACATAGACCTTGGCTCAAAAAACAAAAACAAAATGGGTTTGGGATAGCATCCATTGGTGGAGCACTTTCCTAACACGCTACAAGGCTCTTGGTTCTATCAAACCCCCAGTACTGCAAAAATGCTCAAAAGTAAATAATTAGCGCACTGTGGCCTGTCCCTCGAACGTTGTTTTCCATGCTTGGGTGGGTGATGAGAGTCGTCCTGTGAAAGCTGAATGTATACTATTCCCGTGTGCAGTTCTGCAGTACTGGAAATGGACTCCAGGGCCCTGTACACGCGGAGGAGCACCGTGCTGTAAAGCTAGGTTACCAGCCTTTCCTTCCCTTCTTAGTCTAGTCTTACTAAGTCGTCCAGGCAGACTGTGAATGAACAGGAGATTCTTCTGCCTCAGTTGTGCCAAGTCCCAGGAATTTGAGAGCTGCACGATAAGGCTCATCCCATTTTAGTGTGTGTGTATATGTGTGTGTTATTTTGCTGATGTCACATTCAAATTTTTTTGTTTCAGTCCTAATAAGTACAAAAAGATGAATTGTGGCTTTTTTTGTTAGTGGTTTGCCAAAAATGAATGGTGGTTTAGCTTTAGAAAGTAGGATTAGTTCTCCCCTTACCAGTGTCTTCCATTAGAACTATTTAAGAATGGCAAGGGCGCTGTCAGAGCTTAGGTATGCTTAATTTTACATACAATTTTTTAATTAATTGAGACATAGTCTCAAGTAACTCAGGCCTTGAACTCCTGACTCTTTTGCTTCCACCTCAGAAGTGCTAGGACACACCAAGCTCTTAATTTCATTTTCTTTTTTGTTTGCAGTTTGGGGGATTGAATCTAGAGCCTTGCACATGCTAGACAGATGCTCTACCATTGAGCTGCATTTCCCAGCCTTGATCATTTTTTGTATGAAGAGAATAAAAGGCTAATGTAGGCATTTTTGTTTTAACAAGAATAATTAAGTAGTCAGGCGTGGTGATGTGTGCCTTTAATCTCAACACTCAGGAGGCAGCAGCAGGAAGATCTCTGTGAGTTCCATAACAGCCTGGTCTACAGCTTGATTTCCAGGATAGACAGAGCTATACAAAGAAACTCTGTCTCAACAAAACAAAACAAAAAAATAATTAAGTTGGACATGGTAGCTTGTGTTTATAATCTCAACCCTTGAGAGGCTGGGGCAGGAAAGTCATGAGCTGGAAGCCAGCCTGGGCTGCATAGTATATGCTGTTTATAAATAGGTAAGAAACCAGGCATGGTGGCTCTCGCTTTATAAGCCCAGTAGGATCACAATTAAGGCCAGTTGAATGAATGGTGAGACCCTCTCTTTCAGAAGTAGACAAAAACAAGAAGAATAATTCTTAATGTCTTTTGCTGGTTTTTAGGTCTTGGCTGTATGCCATGTGCCGAGGTATTGAACACGATCCAGTTAAACCCAGACAGTTACCTAAAACTATTGGCTGTAGCAAAAACTTCCCAGGGAAAACAGCTCTGGCTACTCAGGAACAGGTAAGCAGGCCTTCTCCACAGAACACTTCTGCTTATAAAGGGGACAGTGGGTTTTCATAGCCCTTCTAAGTATACTGGGTTAGATGGTTACCTTTATTTTAGGATATCAAAAGAAATAGAAATTGATTTTTTTATATACACTGGAGCTGTCTTCAGACACAGAGGAAGAGGGCATCAGATCTCATTACAGATGGTTGTGAGCCACCATGTGGTTGCTGGGAATTGAACTCAGGACCTCTGGAAGAACAGTAAGTGCTCTTAACCACTGAGCCATCTCTCCAGCCCTAGAAATCGATTTTTTTTTTTATGTTGAAATAACTAGGTTAGTTATTTTTCCTCCTTCAATCTAAAAAGACGTAAAATAGGAGTGGCTGAAATGGACAATGACATTGCGTGGTTTTTTTGTAAGTAGGAGCTTCAAAACCCTCAAATATTGTGTCTCACCCACTTCTGGGATCTTCCTTAGATTTGAAACGTGGTAGAATTTACCAGATGGCACCATCAGGAAAAGTGGGGTGAAGGGCTTGGAGCCTGAGTGTGGTAGAGCACACCTGTAATCTGGGCAGACAGGAAGCAGAGTCAGTTACACTAAGAGCTAGAGGCCAGCTTGGGTTGCAGTATCCTGACCAAATAAATGGTGTTTCACAAGAGTGTGGATGTGTGTGTGCAGACACCAGAGGAAGATGTCAGATGACCTGCTTATTAACCTGCCTTATTCTCTTGAGATGATGATCTCGTGTTGAACCTGAAACTGTTGGCAGCCAGCAAAAATCCCAGGGGTCCTCCTCCTGTCTCTGTCCTGACTAGCCATGGGTCATGCTCCATTGTGGGTATTTGTATTGCCGTGCTGGGACTGAAACGCTCCTCTTTGTTTGTGACTGCAAGCACTCTTACCACTGACTTATTTCCTTTTCCCAATAATTAAAAACATTTTTTTTCTTGTTGAGGATTTTTTTTTGCTGTGTAGCCCAGCCTTGAACTCATGATTCTTCTGCCTCAGCCTCTAGAGTCTGGGACTACAAGTATGTACACTATGCCTGACTGAAACTCTTCAGCTAGAAGAACACAGCACTGAGAGCTCCATGACCAAGTTATAGCGATCTGTCAGTTGACCAAGCCACTGGCTGGTTCATAATAAGTCTACATAAATGAAAAATGTATTTAAAAAAAAAGAAAAGAAAAACTGAAAGGTTTTGACTTTTTTTTCTTATAGGTACAGTGGTGGCTTTTGCAGTTAGCCCTGGAACTTGAGGAGAGGCTAACCAAAGACCGAAATGATGTAAGATTTTTTTTTCTCTCTCTGTCATTAATCTTTGAGATTTAAATGGTACCTGCCCCTGTGGAGAAGAAACACAGAGAAAATAGAATCATCTTAGGGAAGTTTATAAAAGTTTATTTGGCCAGATGCTTTTAATCCCACCCAGCACTAGGGAGGCAGAGGCAGGTAGATGCCAGCCTAGTCTATATGGTATGTTGTAGGAATCCAGAACTACATAGAGAGACTGTTTCAAAAAGAAAGAAAGAACAGTTTGTTAAAACAGGAGCCCAGGCTTAGCCTTGAACTTGCCAGTCCTACCTTGAGGTTTCCAGATTCTAGGATTATAGGCCTGACTTACCAAGCTTGGCTGAAGATTCTTTTATCTTCTCTTAACACAGGCCCATAAAAAAGAGTGTGCTGGGGCTGGGGAGTCAGCTTAGTCGGTAGAGTGCTTGCTTGGCTTGCTTAAAGTGAGTGTGGTTCCTAGCACCTAATAAATGCCAGAGGTAAGATCGTCCTTCACAAAAAAAAAAAAAAAAAAAGCCCGCACTGCAGTCCCTGGAAGCCGAGCTTTGTGAGAACGTGAGAGCCCCCGGCAAGCTTGCTCCTCTCCGAACCGTTCGCCTTCACTGTTCTGTATGTCCTTGTCTAAATCTCCTACAACCCGAAGTGGATTAGTGGACTTCATCAGAGTAAACCTCCACTGAGCTGTAAGCCATTGCATGTAAACCCAGTGGAAGGTTGGTCATTTCTAAATTATTCCCTATGACGGATGTGCTGGGTGCACGGGTGGAGGCCGGAGGACCCCTTTGTTGGGTCTGCTCTGTCCTACCTTACAGACTCCAGCGATGGAGCGTGGGTGCTCAGGTTTGCACTGCCAAGCACTTTGCCTTCTGGGCCATCTTGCGGCCCCCATAGTAGAAAGTTTTGAGTTTTATTTATTCCATGTTGTCTTTGTGTGTGTGACATGTGTGAGGGTGACATGTAAAGAGGGCACTGGATCCCCTAGCACTGGAGTTAGGGATTGGAACCAAACTCAGCTCCTCTGCAAGAGCAGCTAGCCTTCTTAACTGCTGATACATCTTGCCAGACCCCATAGTGGAAGCTTTAAAGACAAAGTATTAATCAGACATTAGACATCTGATTGTTTCTTCTCTAAGTAATTTTGTTTTGTTTTGAGATAAGGTCTCCCTATCTAGCTTTGGCTGGCCTACAACTCACAGTGATCCACCTGCCTCTACCTCCCAAGTGCTAGGCATCTTGAACTCTTCTGTCTCTACCTCTCAACCACTAGGATGGGTAGTATGGTCTACCCCTTGTCCTAGACTATACATATATAATACACTGATATGAAGTACATCCATCTAAAGTATACAGTTCAGTGGTTTTAGTGTGTTCCAGAGTTATATAACTACTGTAAGGACCCAGGAAGAGGACCCCAACTCAAGTCCCAATTAGCGCACACCCAAGGAGACACAAGAGACTTACTTGATGCAATGGCAAAAGGCAGTTTACTAACAAGGGCCCTTGGATCGAAACTCATCCCACGCAGGGGAGAGAATTTCGATGAAGACCCCAGGAAGTTTAGAACTTTTATAGGGGGAGGCACAAGGGGGAAGGGAAAAGTGGGAAATTCAGGCGCGGTTACATATGATTGGATATTTCAAACATCAGCACTTTGCGTAAGCAATCATTTTGACAGGTTGGATGGCCCACTATTTTTGACCATGAAGCCTCAGACCTTCTAGGATAAACACCAGGTGGCCCATTACTCACTTGGGCATGTTTAGACTGGTCAAGATATGTCTTTGGTTGTTTCTACATTTCTGGTCACCTCGTCCCTAGAGGGGCTTGATATTTTTATTATGGCTACTCTCAGTAAGCTCAGCAAGCTGTCCTGCGGTCTTTGCCAAGTTGTTTGTGGTCTCTGCTAAGCTGTTTTAATTTTTACCCTTACACTACAATCAAGTTTATTTTTGTTTGATTAGGGGTTTTTTTGTTTTTGTTTTTTTTTGTTTTTTGGTTTTTGTTTTTTTTTCCGAGAAAGGATTTTGTATGTAGCCTTGGCTATGCTAGAACTCACCCTGTAGACCAGGCTTGCTGGCCTGGTCTACCTGCCTCTGCCTCTCTGCCTCTCTCTGCCTCTGCCTCTCTGCCTCTGCCTCTGTGCCTCTGTGCCTCTGTACCTCTGCCTCCGCCTCCTGTATGCTGGGTCTAATGGTGTGCACCACCATTACCCAGTTGTTGATTTGTTTGGTTTTGGTTTTTGTTTTTTTTTTTTTTTTTTTTTTTTTGGTTTTTTAAAACAGAGTTTCTCTGTATAGCCCTGGCTGTCCTGGAACTCACTCTGTAGACCAGGCTGGCCTCGAACTCAGAAATCCACCTGCCTCTGCCTCCCAAGTGCTGGGATTAAAGGCGGGTTTGTTTGTTTTTTAACTTAATTTTTGAGACAGGCATTCCTGGTTGGCCTGGATAAGAGTTATTATATAGACCAAGCTAGCCTTGAACTGACAGACATCTGTCTGCATCTGCTTCTCTCGTGATGGGACTACAGATATGTGCCACCACACGCAGTTTTACAGTTAGCCTTAGAATATGTTCATTTACTCCCCAAAGAAATTCTGTACCCATTAGCAGTCATCCTCCATTTTCCCACTCGTCCTCTGTAGTCCCAGCATTTATTTAATATGATGGCGCACACTTTTCTTCCCATAGTATATGAGCTGCTGAAGCAGAAGGACTTAACTGCCTCAAAAAAAAAAAAAGTCCCTGGATGTTTCCTGTAACTGAAGTCATGCAGTGTGTGGCCTTTTCACTGAGCTTACTCATATCATAGCACGCCAGTTATTACTTCTTTTTGTGGCCAGATAAGAGTTATTATTAGTAAATGAATATTTGGGTTATTTCTACTCTGGGCCATTATCAGTAATAATAACATTCCATGTTTTCATCCTAGAAGCACAATTACTGGGTCACATGGTAATTATGCTTAACATTTTGAAAAGTTTGGCAGACTGCTTTCTGTAGTAGCTTATCATTTTATAATCCTGCTTTCAGTTTGAGAGATACAGATACAGATTGTTAAGTTAAATATTATTAATAGATCCCAGCATGGGTTATACCCACCTCAGTGGTTTATGTTCCTGAACGAAAGACACACACACAGCCTTTATAGTTTAATATGCCTTAATCAGCACACTAGCTGGGTGACTGACTACCTAGCCTCCAATGTTTCTAGAATCTACTTCCTGTTGATAATTCTGAGTTACTACTTACTAAATTTTTTTTTGGGGGGGGGGGTTCGAGACAGGGTTTTTCTTTATAGTCCGGACTGTCCTGGAACTCACTCTGTAGACCAGGCTGGCCTTGAACTCAGAAATCTGCCTGCCTCTGCCTCCCAAGTGCTGGGATTAAAGGCCTAAATTCTATGTTCCATCTTGGCCGCTCCAGATCCTGTCGGGCAGCCCTCTGGGCCATGCTCTCCTGACTCCTTCACATGGCGACTATGCTGCTCTGTCCTGCACTCTTCTCAGGCATGGCGTCTCTCCATGCCTCCACACTCTCTAAGCATGGTGGATCTTTTTTCCTCCTCCTCCTCCTCCTCCTCCTGGTCCCAAGCCCAGGAACCCTAAAACCGCCTCTGTCTGTCCTCCCCAGCTATTGGCTGTTGGTATCTTTATGCACCAATCAGAAGAAACTGGGGGTAGGTGCCCAGAAACTCCTTGCAGACCTTCTTGTAGAGTTTTTTTTTTGGGGGGGAAACATGATTAGCATTCGTAATACAAGCAGCTACACAGACATCTGAGTGCAGGTGTCTGCAGAGGTGAAAAGAGCTGAGTTACAGGGAGTTGGAAGCCACTTGAGGTGGGTGCAGAGAACTGAACTTTGTCCTTGGCAAGGTTTATATGCACTCTTCCACTGAGGCGGCTCTTAAGCTGATCATGAGTTTTGTTTGCCCCTTTGTTTCTCTTTTTTCTTTTTTCTTTTTTTTTTTTTTTTTTTTTTGGTTTTTTGAGACAGGGTTTCTCTTTATAGCCCGGGCTGTCCTGGAACTCACTCTGTAGACCAGGCTGGCCTCTTGTTTCCCTTTTTAATGAAGCACAAACATTCCCCTGTTTGGGGCATGCTGAACTTCTCTTGTTCCAGTTTTATTCTCTATTGTAGTTAAGTTTAACACTTGTTTTTTTTTGTTTTGTTTTGTTTTTGATAACTAGACATATCACCATGCGGTTTATTGGTTCCGTAGGGAACTGTTACTTTTTGCCCTTATACTCTAGTTCTATGGGCAGCCGGGACCGAAGGATCACTGAGGCTGCTAGCTGGGTAAGGAAAAGGGGCAAGCTGCAGTCGAGTGAGAGAGACCTGCCACAGGGGACACTGCTGACAGTGCTAGAGCAGGGTGCTCATGTCCTCTTCTGCATGCCACATGAGTACATACATGTGCACATACACTCGTACACACACACACACACCACATCCAAGACAAAACTACACACACACACACCTTTAAAAAAAAGATAATGAGGTTCTAAACTTTAGCTTTCTCTTGCATCTCTCAGCGTAGCAGACACCCAGTTGTAATAACAGAGCGTTCTCAACTAAAACTCCTTTGTAACTTGTATTTTCTCAAGATGCAAACCTTGGGGCTGGAAAGATGATTTACAGAACTGGCTCTAAAGAATTGAGTTTTTCTTTTCTTTTTTTTTTTTTTTTTTTTTAAAGATTTATTTATTTTATGTGTATGAGTACACTGCAGCTGTCTTCAGACACACCAGAAGAGGGCATCAGATCTCATTACAGATGGTTGTGAGTCACCATGTGGTAGCTGGGAATTGAACTCAGGACCTCTGGAACATCAGTCAGTGCTCTTAACCACTGAGCCATCTCACCAGCCCCATGGAGTTTTTCTAAATCCTCAGTGATTAAGAGCACTGGCTGCTTTTCTAGAGGACCCAGATTCAATTCCCAGCACCCACATAGCAGCTCACTCCTATCTATAACTCCAGTTCCAGGGCTTCTGACACCCTCACAGACATACATGCAAGACACTAATGAACAAAAAATACAATTACAAAATGAATTAAGATGCAGACCTCTACAGATGAATCCTGTAACCACCCCCACACCCAGTTGTGCTCCTAATTCTTACCAGCTAGCATCTTTTGACTTTGAAAAGGAGTCTGTCTTAGGGTTTCCATTGCTGTGAACAGACACTATGACCAAGGCAGCTCTTATAAATGAAAACATTTAATCAGGGCTGGCTTCAGGTTCAGAGGTTCAATCCACTATCATCAAAGCAGGAAGCATGGCTGTATCCAGGCAGACATGGCGCTGGAGATGGAGCTAAGAGGTCTTCATCTTGATCCGAAGGGAACCAGGGGAAGACTGGCTCTTCTAAGCAGCTAGGAGGAGGGTCTCAATGCCCATCTCCACAATGACAAGCTTCCTCCAAGGCCACACCTCCTACTAGTGCCCTTCCCTGGGCCAAGCATATACAGACCAGCACAGAGCCTCACATGGACGTTTCACTGGATACACTCTGCTGAGTGATCTTTATTTCTGTTTACTGAGTGTAGCATTCAAATGCTTCTACTTGGCTAGAGGCAGTGCTTGCTGTCTCTAGTGGTATTCTACATTGTTGTCTACAGATGGCTGTGACAACGTACCACCACAAAAGTCTGCTGTTTTAAGAGCTGTTAATTTTTTTTTTTTTTTTTTTTTTTTTTGTTGCTTTTTCAAGACAGGGTTTCTCTGTGTAGCCCTGGCTGTCCTGGAACTCACTCTGTAGACCAGGCTGGCCTCGAACTCAGAAATCCGCCTGCCTCTGCCTCCCAAGTGCTGGGATTAAAGGCGTGCGCCACCACTTCCCGGCTCTGTGCCTGGCTTTTATGTTCACACTTCAGGCAAGAACTTTACAAACTAAGCTACATCCCCAGTCCCTAATATTCTGTGATAATTCATCACCCAAATTCTATCCTCTTTTTTTTTTCAATGCTGGGGATCAAATCCACGATCTCATATATCCTTCTTATAACTAGAAATAGCACAAACTTTATTTTGTGACATCTTGTAGTCAGTTTTTTTTTTTTTTTTCATGACAAGGTCTCTCAGTGCAGCCTTGGCTTTGTAGACCAGGCTAGTTTTGAAGTTTTGAACTCACAGAGATCCACATTGCCTCTCTGTCTTCTGAGTGTTGAAATTAAAGGTGTGTGTCACCACTGCCTGGCCTGTAGTTAGATTTTTATTCAGGAATTTGTACTATAGTCTAGGCTCTATCCCTTATAATACTGGACCCATTGTCTTATGCTTGTATGTATTTAGTATACAATTGTATCTTATATGAATAGGTATTAGAGTAAACAGCTTCCTTTTTTGTTTAGTTTTGTTGTTTTTTTTTTAAGATAGGATCTTACTATGCAGCCCTGATTTACCTGGAACTTGGTATGTAGACCAGGATGACTTTAAACTCACAGAGATCCATCTCCTTCCACCTCCCCAGTGCTGGGATTAAAGGAGTCCAACCCCATGCCAGCTTTTAAATTGAGTTTCCAAATCATTCTATTACCCTGAACATGCTCTTAGTAACTACTTCTGGCCTCACTCCTCCTCTCTCCACAGAATGACAGAGTGGCCACTCAGTTGGTCGTCAGTGTTCGTGTTCAAGGGGACAAGCGTCTCAGCAGCCTGCGTCGGTGCTGTGCCCTCCCTCGCTATGACGCTCACAAGATGAGCCAGGACGCATTTGCTGCCATCAGGAACTGTAATACGTCTGGAACCCAGACTGAGTGGTGAGACTTTATTTTTAGTTTATCTTAAAAAGAGGGGCGGGGCGGCACTAGGCAGTGGTAGCCCAATATTGGAGGCAGAGGTAGACAGATCTCTGTGAGTTCAAGGCCAGCCTGGTCTACAAAGCTAAAGCTACACAGAGAAACCTTGTCTCAAAAAAACAACAAACAGAAAACCTAAAAGTTTATTTTGTAACTTAGCTGTATAGTGAGTTACAAAGCTGTTCAGTGAGCTTCTGAACTTTCATCTGGGGTAATTTCTTTGTGACTCTACTAGTAACACCTATTAGATGGCTGTGATCAAGAGCTAAGGAAGGTGGTAAAACTGAGGAGGTTTAACCAGTAGAGCCAGAGGCAGGCACATCTCTGAGTTGGAGTCCAGCCTGGTCTATAAAGTGAGTTCCAAGACAGGCAGATATGCACAGAAAATGTGTGTGTGTGTGTGTGTGTGTAGGTGGGTGGGTCATCAGTCATCAGTTGCAGTAGTTTTGTTTCTCCCTACATTTGGTGCATTCTGGTACCCACAAGTGCATTAGTATTGAGAAGACAACAAGAACCAGCACCATTCTTGCCTGTACTAGCTTACTGTATGCAGGGACATGACTGCCGGCACTTGGGGACTAATACACTTGGGAACTTCTTAATTGTATCTCTCTCTTTTTTTTTTTTTTCTTTTTTGTTTTTCAAGACAGGGTTTCTCTGTATAGCCCGAGCTGTCCTGGAACTCACTCTGTAGACCAGGCTGGCCTCGAACTCAGAAATCCGCCTGTCTCTGCCTTCCAAGTGCTGGGATTAAAGGCATGAGCCACGACCCCCTGGCTTCTTAATTGTATCTTAAAAACATTTTTCATGATCTTTTATAAAGAAATTTTTCCGATAGTCTAGGCTGTGTCTGTTGAAGTAACTATTTAAAATCGGCCTCTGGTCAAGCTGACTATCTAAGCCGAGGCAGCTTTGCCTAGCTCAGCCGCCATGTTTCTCAGTGCGCGCAGCAGCTAGAACCGGCCAGAAAGAAACACCAGCCCTGCTACCCATGAGACACCAGCATGGGAGATGGCTCTGCCAATCTTTCACACTGTCTCCGCAAGGCTGGGCATTGCCCAGATCATCCCGCCATCCACACGGGCCCAGTAGAAAGATGAGACTCTAATGCTGAAAGATTAATCAAAGGCTTATATATTTGGTAATGATCAGTAACAAGATACCCATACAATCAGAAGTGTAACCCAATACCCAACCTAGATATACCAACCACCTTTGACTGCTATAGACATGAGAACATCCGCCTCCATCTCCTCCCTCTCTCCCCTCTCCCAGCTCCTCTTCTTCCTTTTCCTCCTCTCCTTCTTCCTCTTCTTCCTCTTCTAACTCCTCCCACATTAGCTCCCCCTCCATGTGTGTACCCAACCACTGTCCTATGCTTAGATGTTTAGTGTTTATATTTTTTTCTAGATAGGTACTAGAATAGCCTGAATTTTTGCTAATTGTTTGTGTTGAGTGTTTGTTTTAGACAAGGTCTTTCTATGCTGCCCCCTCCTCCTGGCCACTCTGGGAGCTGGAGCTGGAAGCCGTGCTCTGTTGTGCACGGGCAGCAGTCTACCGCTGCGCTCCACCCTGGCGCTTCTCTAGTGTAAAGTTCTATATGCATTTCATCTCTGCGGGGCAGGAAGCATCGCCAAGGCATGGGGAAACCATTCTTGAATCATATTTATTTTTCTGTCCTGACATTATCATCGTAGATGTTTTTAAGATAGGGACTTCTCTATTCCAGGCATTGTACTTAGAGATGTCTCTGCACTTCTGGTCCTCCTGCCTACATCTCCCAAGAGGAGCTGAGCTCACAGGCCCGTACCATCACATGCTTGGCTTCTGAGGTACTTGGGATTGAACCCAAGTCTTCATGCATAGGAAGCAAGCACCCTCCCTCTACTGAGTTACAGCCTCAGCCCTGAGTCAAGGTCCTGAGTTCTATCCCCAGTTCCTCACCCCATCCTCCCTTGTCCCAAGAAAAGCAAGGTATTTTCAAGCCAGTCTTGATGGATCAGAATTCAAAGTCATCCTTGGCTATACAGAGCAAGATCTTGTTTCAGAAAACCAAAAAAGGATATTCTAAATTCATTATGACAAAAATATAAACTTGTCATTGAAGATTACAAAGAAGTTCAGTTCACCTAAAGTACTGCTTATCTAAAACATATTGACGTCCACAAAACTGTAACATTTACTTTCTGGTATAATTGCTTGTCCCACAAATACTACAGTTACACAGACCCAATGATAACTGTGGCGCTGTGTTTATATGAATCCTTATTTGAGAACCATTACAGGACCACTAACCTTGTCTGTTTATGATGTGGTACCAAAGTATAAATCCTGAGGGCAGGGCCAACAAGTTCCTCTTGCTGTTTGAGACAGCATGTTGCTATGGAGCGTAGGCTGGCCTTGAACTCATCCTGTCTAGGCTCTGCTACTGGATTTCAGGCATATGTTACCATACTCAACTCACAGTAACTTAAAAACAGCACTTGCTCTTCTGATTGAAGAACTAACCTATCTATAAAAGCATGTTTTATATTCTGAAACTCGGTTCGTATGGAAATACATAATGAACTTTCTTTTGGAGGGAGTAGGGGGTGTTTTGGTTTTTTTAAGTTTTTAGTTTTGTTTTGTTTTTAAGACAGGGTTTCTATGTAGCCATCATTGCCTAGCTTTAAAATGTTTCTGAGACTGAGATTTGAAACCAAAATCTTGATAGGAAATTTTATCTTGAAAAATTCCATAATCATTGGTTAAGATTGGAAATTTTTTTCACTTATTTTGTGTATACATATACTAAATATGAAATCTCTGAGTTGGTCTTACAAACTAAATTCAGGCCATTTAGCTTGGTGGCAAGTACCTTTACCCACTGGACCAACTGGCTGGGCAGCTTTTTTATGTAGCTATCTACTTCTCAAGTGTTGCCTTGAATAAAAGTTGTGCTGCCCCAAGCTAAGTGTGATGGGGCACACCTTTAGTCCCAGAACTCAGGAGACACAGGCCGGTCTATATAGTTGCAGGCCAGCTAGAGTTGCACAGCTTGTCTCAGAAAACAAAAAAACAACCCAAAATTTGTTGCCCCATCCCTTAATTCCAGCAACTTGTGGTAGATCGTGGACTCTAAGTGGTCTAGCCCTAGCAGTCAGAGCGAGCACTCCACCGGTCGGCCCCGAGCTGGGGACCGGCTAGACTCAGTGGTATCCCAGTCTCCTCTCTACGTCAGTACAATACACAGTAACGGCTGTGAGCCACTGCAGTAAGAAGAGTCAGTGCCTCTCATGATTATCATCTGTTAGATGGAGCTGAGCTCTTAAACAGTGACTTGGTAACTTCCTCGTTCTGTTCCTTTGTACACAGGTCCCCTCCTCTCACAATGCTCTTCCTCTGTGCGACCAAGTTCTCTGCATCTGCCCCTCCAACTTGCACAGATATCACTATGTTCCTGAGTAGTGACTCAAGCTGTCAGCCAAAGGTGCCAATTGCCTGCTCTGAGACTAGGACCCAGGCACCTGGCCCAGCTGTGCCCACCTCTAAAGAGGCAGCCACATCATCTGTAAAGACTTTTTTTCAAAAGGCTGCCAAAAAGCAGAGAATGAAAGAGACTTCCTTTGCGCCTCTTAACATGGCCACGGAGAAGTCATCCTCCAAGCCCTCACTTGTGTTCCAAACCAGCCGACCCACAGGAACTCAGTCTTTCTTTAAGCAGAAGAGTCTGCTGCTACAGCACACACAGGTTAGTAATTCTGCAGCTCCTTACCCTCCACAGGTCAACTCTGAAGCGCAACCAAGCTGTCTACCAACGGAGTGTGTAGACAGTGGTCCTGTTGATGGAAGAGTGTTGAAGCCAGTATCCTCGAAAGCAATTTCTACAGAAATGCATGTGGCTGGAAACAGTCCAAACATGCTTGATTCTTCAGCTTACAACTCTCAGGAGGTGGCCCAGAGGGCACCTGAGGACCAAGTGCTCTGTGAGCAGTGTGACTCCCTGGTTCCAGTATGGGACATGCCAGAACACACGGACTACCATTTTGCACTGGAGTTGCAGAAGTCTTTTTTGCAGCCTTGTACTTCAAAATCCCAGGCTGTTCCTGCCATGTCTCCTCAGGGCAAAAGAAATCCCAAGAGTCCTTTGGCTTCCAGTAATAAACGCTTTAGGCCCCACGGCATGCAGACACTGGAATCCTTTTTTAAGCCATTGACACATTAGTGCTGCCCTGGGGCTTGCAGAAGAGCTTTACTATTTTATTTCTAAGAGATGGAATCGTGATTACTCAAGCGAATTATGAAATTTTTAATACAAAATTAATTTGTTTTTTTCTTTCTTCCAATGGGATTCTGATCCTGTTGCTGATCAATGTTTTTAATCTTTAGGGAGATACAGTGTCATAAAAGATGTAAGGAACCTTGACAAACTCCCACAGCTTTGGGCTAGCTCACTTCCTTCCCTATAAAATTCACTAAAGACTAAACATGATATTAGAAATGTAACTCAAAAAATTGAAATTGAAAGGGGAGAAGATGGGGCTGGAGATACAGCCCACTTGTCTAGGACAGCATGTGCAAGGCCCCAAGTTCACTTCCCAGTTCTGGAAGGAAAATAAGGACTATTGAGATGAACAAGTGCAAACGACTGAAGTAATGGACTTAGCAGTCTTCCTCAGCCATACAGGCATCAGATTTTATTAAATTACATGACTTTGAATTACGTATGAAACCAGGTAGATTTAATGGGTAGGAAAGTAGTATGCACATCTTTTCCCTACATAAATACAAATCAACTCACTTAAAAATTGGGTCTTTGAAAGATTTGAAACTCACTGTTTAGCAGGAAATTACCCTTTCCTTTGACTTTAGTGTGTAGTTCCTTCCCTGGCTAGATTAAAGGCAAGAATTCTTACAGTGCCTTACATATAAATATGTTCTTAATGTTGGCTGAATGCATGAAGTAAATTATACCACACTGAGACAATAAAAATGTACTCTTTGGGGCCTGCCTTTTACTCCTCTAATATTCTATTAATGTAAAAAAGTGCTTACTGGTGAGTTTTTTGACATTGGAGATGGGAAGGCTAGACTGTTGTCAAATCTGTGATCCTATTACTGCAGTTTCCTGTGTGCTGAGATGTAGGTGTATGCCACTGTGCCTATGCCACTGTCACGGTTTGGGAGTCGGAAAGTAATATGCTGTCTGGTGTTTGGTACACATTTGTAATCCCAACAGTTTAGAGGGTCAAGAAAGGGTAATCAGTCTGGAGTTTAAAACATCCTTGGTGAGACAACCTGGGCTACATGAGAGACACGGGTTAGGATGTAACCCAGTGGTAGAATACTCGCCTAGCATGACTTTTCTCTAGTACCAAGCTAGATGTTATATGTGACCATGGTAATCCTAGAATTCTGGAGATGGTGGCAGGGGATCTGGAATTAAATTCCAGGCCAGCTTGGGTAATACGATGAGGCCTTGCCTCCAAAGAGAGAAGCACTGTAGCAGACACTCAGGTGTCTTAAGACACCTTAGAGGGAAGTTGGAGGAGTAGGTGGGAGATGGCTAGTGGACCAGTGGAGGACAGAGTTAGCAGTGTGCCTTGTTTTTTGGGCAGAGCTGCCCTACTGTACACAGTCTGTAGGAGTAGTGCTAGCAATAGTGCTGTAAAGTAGCACTGTGCTACGAGATGATCTTGCTTTCCTCACAGCTCCTAAGAAAAGTTTTACCCACAGGCTTCTTAATAATTAAACCAATGGTATTGTTTGTTCCTCGGGGCTGGGGTTTCTCTGTGTCCTGGCTGTCCTGGAACTTGCTTTGGAGACCAGACTGGCCTTGAGTTCACAGAGATCTGCCTGCCTCTGCTTCAAGTGATGGGATTAAAAAGTGCACCTTTAATAAAAACTATTTTATTAAACCGTGTCAGATATGGTGGCACATGCCTGTAATCCTAACTAAAAGAGGAGGCTGGGGTGGGAGGACCACTGAATTAAGGCTACATAGCCAAGAGCCTGTATAAAAGTACTAAAAATAGGGCTGGTGGCAATAGCTCAGTTGGTACCTAAAATGCAGAAAGGCCTAGATTTGGCCTTAGTATGTATGGTGTAAAAGCAGACATGAGCCATGCCTGCAATCCCAACATTTGAGAGGGACAGAGGACCTGAGCTAAAGGTCATCCTCAAACTACAGAGTAAGACTGAGTCCAGCCTGGGCTAGAGACTCTCATCTTTAAAAAGGCTCTGAAGGCCAAATGCTAACTAAACTTTGGACCACATGTATTATTTGTTTTGCCAGGATTAGTACTCAAAACAGAGTCCGTTCCTCTGCAATAGACATTAGCCTTAGACCCTATTTAATATGGGATAGTCAGACAGCCTGGAACAGAGCTCAGCTTGGCATCTGGCTAGCATGTACAATGCTCTGGACTCCAAAATGTACGATAGTCGATAGTCTGAACACAGAAATAAGAAGGGCGGGGGTTCGCTAAAGTGGCCCTCGATACCTCAAGAATCTAGGCTATAAATGACAAATGTGAGGACTACATGACCATCCACCTCTGGTACTGAGGAGAGGGTTCTGCTCACTATTACCACTGACAGGCACACAACGTGGTAAGTACCACAGAGCGAGCTGTTTGAGCTGAAAAGGCCTTTTCACCTTATACTCTGCTCACTCAAATAATATAAAACAAAGCAGAACACAACACAGATCCTATGGCAGGGAAGACAAGAATCGGCACAAACAACATGATCCTATGACACAGTGATCCTATGGGGGAGAGGACAAACACAGCCAATGAGACAACATGACAACCTAGCCTTGGAGGCTGAACCAGTGTCTTAAGCATAAGCACAGAGTGTCCAATAAAACATTTTTATTCTGTACAATATATATGTGTATTTAAATATATATATACATATATATATATATATATGCAGAGAATCTTCAACAAATCCCTGAGTTCACGGGAACCCAGGATGCTAACAAAGGGAGAGGAGGGAGTCCATGCCTAAAATAGGAAAGATGACATCTTTCCCTTTCCTCCTGGTTCCCGGCAACAGAGGGAAGGGGTTGGTCACTACAAATTACTAAAACAAGAAAAAGTTTTATGTTAAGAGCAGGACTGGGGTGAGGATCCCAGGATGCACAAACTGGGTCAGTCCTGTGGCTACCGCACTAGCTGAGGTAGCATGGAAGCCAACAGATGACTGGAAGGACAGAAACGGACATGCAGCTGGCCTTGGGTGTGCCAAGTCTTAGCCTGGCAGCCCCACGCCTGAGCCAGCACCACAAATAGCACCAAGTGGGGCCTATGCCAAGAGGATCTGGGGAATCGACCCTTGAGAGAAGGAAATGAAGCAAGAAATGCATCGGGACTCAACACAGGATAGGAGCACAGTCTTTCACGGTCTCTGTGCCATTTCTTCAGTCCCTGGGTCCACCAGATGGCTAGGAGCACTGTCTTTTATCCATAGTCAGGTAGAGATAGGTAACTTACGTGGCCTTGAGAGGAGGTATAAAAAAGAAGTGCTGTCAAGAGCCACCCCAGTTGTTGACAATTCCTGAAGTGCAGAGATACCACTGGTGAGTCATGCCCAGTCCTGATAGTGGGCCAAGATGGCTGTGTACTGCTCCCTCCAGTGGACAAGACCATGCAGCCGCCAGGGTTAATGAACTATCTCGGGGTGCACACAGCTGCTGAGCACTGCCCTGAATTGTCTTCTCCCTCAGGACTGCCCCTCCCTGGCCACACCAAACTTGACACCTCTCCAGAAATGTGACAGGAAGCAAGTGGCAGCAGACACTCCTCTCCCTAGCCTATTAACACACAGAGCCGCCAGCAGTGGGCAGCATGGCCGGAAGTCACCTTATGTATTGTAGGAACAGCAGTAGAGCTGTTTGGAGGACTCAGAAGCCCATGCTGGCCTGGGCTTCTCCTGCTGTGATGGCTTGTACATCCGTGACATGACCGATGCCCTTGGTAACACCCTCCCGGAACAGCAGTTTGGCGCCCACCTTCAGGTATTCTGGATGTTTCAGGAAACGGAAACGTACCACTGCCTTCTCCCCTGTCCGCAGCTTGTCCTTCAGGAGAAAAGTGGTCACGGCCCTGGCAAGCGCCTCCCATCCCATTCTCTGTCAGCCTTGACTCTTAACCTGTGAGCCCCAAGGTGGGCTGCTCCCCGCCCTATATATATATATATGTATAGGCTCTGCTCCCTTTATGTGATCAGGGAAGCCCGGCCAGGTCTGATGTCAGACTTTCCTCCTGTATGGAGTCAGAACATTGACTTTCCCTGAAGACATGGAACACGGCTGGGTCCCTCTCACCTTTGCATGGATCTTTTCCACCACTGCTGTTTGACGTACGTTGCCCACATGTACTGTCACCTGGAATCCCCGCCGGAAAGTGGTGGCGTGGAACAGTAGAACTATCTCTGCCTCGAACACTGAGCAGATGGTGGGATTCATCTCGGGGCTCACCATCACCATGCCCTGGGGAGAAACAGTCCAAGGTCCACAAGGGCAAACCCGCCGTTAGACTCTTTCCAATTCTCCACTCTTTTAAAACTCTGGAATCCTCTTCTACATACTAAGAAAGGCCTCGAAGAGGAGGGCACTGTGGGAATTTAAGGACCTGTGTTTAAGTATCCTACACCCTTTCAGTAGTCTATATAACCAGGCCTACACTCCTAAGTTAAAGACTGTAGACAGAAGCTTCTTAGGAGCCAGTTTTCCAGACTGTTCCCTCTCCAACCCACGTGTCCACCTCACCTTTCGAAGCAACGCACGGTCAAAGTCTCCGAGGGCTAGTGTAGCAGCCTGACCAGCTCGAAGCACACGACAGGCAGAACGGTTGCGCTGGATGCTGCATACTCTCAGCTCCAGGAAGCAGCCATCGTCTGTCGGGCCTACTACCAGCTGGTCCCCCTCGCGGCAGATCCCACTGCAGCCCAGACAGCAGGTGGCAGTGTCAGCATCATTCCCTCTGACTTTGCCAAGGTCACTCAAAACATTCCTGCCCTTCTGGGCTTATGTCCCTTGAATTAGGGCAAAGGAACCCTACATTCCAGCTTGGAAGTAGGGAGGTGACTGCCTTCTCCAGCCTAGTATTCAGATTCTCAAGGCCAGCAATAATGGCTGGCAGAGGCACCCCTGTGGCTTGGCTAACACCAGGTCCCTTCACCCTGTAATTCATTGAGAGTCTCTTCCTCATTTCCCTGCTTTGAGATGTTAGCTGAACACAGTTTCTTCCAAGAGCCCATGAACCATATCGTATGTTCTAGGGGCCTGGAGACTCCCCTAAAGCAGCAGTACCCACTCCCCCACCCCCATCCCCCTATACTCCCAACCCCCCACTCCTGTAAGCCAGGAGTACTGAGCTTCCTCCAGCTCTGAGTAGGAAAGCTAATCTGCAAACAAACACATCCTGTAGATTAGCATAGTTCCACCCAAGGGGCTCCTTCATGCAAGAGGGTCTCCAGTAACAAGTGAGGGCTGAGCAGAGCGTGTAGCAATGAGGAAGTCACCTGGAGAGTGTTCCTCCAACCACGGTCCCCACCTCTGGGACTGTGTAGATTTCATCCACCTAGAGCCAAAGAAAACTGTCAGTGTCCTGCCACCAGGCTTGTAGGCCTTTATAACCATGCTCAGGCTCAGAACCAGGCCTGCCTCCCTCCACCCCACCCCCGCCTTCTGTTTGCCAAACCAACCACCTGGAACTCTGTCAACTGTTGCATGAGCTCCTCCTGCTCTTTGCTGTTGGTGAGTGGCGGCAGGATATTCAGGAAGACTTTCAGGAGGTCCAGACTCTCTCCAGACACACTGGACAGTGTGAATATAGGGGTGACACTGTGGACAGACAAGTGCATGGGTGAAAACAGTCTTGACAGGAAGCAGTAGCCAGAGGCCCACCCACGAAGAAGTGAGCCGAGTCCCTTTCTGACGGTAAGCAAGCCAGGGAATACGGACAGCTAATGTCTCGAAGGTTCCAGGCATCAACAAAGC